TGCCTCACTGACCACTGGAAGAGTAAATCTCTGTGGTTTTGTTCATTTCTCTATTTTTTCTGCCAAGTTTTTTTTCTATACATGTTTCATCTTTTTTTCCAGTGTAGTATGCTCTCATTGGAATCAGGAAGGATTTCTGTCACAAAATCTTCTTAAAGCAGCACTTGGCAAGATTTTGATGGGGAAAAAAATGCCCATGTGATCAGACTAAATCATGAAGCGCAGCTCATCCACACTAATGAGGAGCTGAAAATTTGGCCTGTTTTCCCCCACTGAAATGTTTGTGTCTGGGTTATCCCTGTTGGGAAGTCTTGTATTCCAGAGTCTTACCGCAAAGATTTGAAAGGATTCCAGCTAGGTGTTTTCCTGGCCTTGGAAAGTTCACTTTTTTGGCTTAAAAAGTGAACTTATCCATTGCTGGAGTTTCTAATTTGTGTCAAATAGAACAATTTCTGCATGGGCACACTATTCTCTGATCTAGTTTTACATCTATTCTAAATATAAACATTTCAAGATCTCTTGTTGCTGTTTTAGCTTTAGTAAAATCTTCTTCATCCCAGAGAGTCTCCGTTTCTCTTCCTTCCCTTCATCCATTCTGTGAGACATGCAGCAGCCTCTCATTGGGCTCCCTTTAAGCTTATAGCAATCATCAGAGAGCCACTCCACAGTGACTCATTGCATTTATATTTAAGCCTCTTTCTGTCATCTCTACATGTCCACTGATCCAACCATCCATCAGTCAGCACCTCCAAAAACAACAGGCCTATCTCACTGCTGCACCAAATCTTAGGGCCTAAAGAGCCATTGACACAATGGATCTCTGCTTCTCCTTGTTTTCTCCTTTCACTGTTTTTAGCAGCATTTATTCTTACGCTAACCTTCCACATCTTCCCTTATTTAGTCTATCTTATGGCTTCACTAGTGTGATTCTTTGTTAGAAGCAATGTTCCCAAAGGAGCATAGCCCACACATTCTCTCATCACTGTCACTTATCTACTCCATCTCCACAGTGACTGAGAAACTGATACCTACACCTCCTCTCTATAGAGATCTCTTTACATGGTGCATTGTTGCCATTCACGTTCCACCTGTATAATTTAGAGCTGGAGAAGCAATGAAGCACAAGAGATGTTCATTAGTCCAACAAGTTCAAATCCAACAAGATATTTTGCCAAATCTGTGATGCTTTAAATTGAGCTTTAAATGCTATAAATTAGAATAATTCAGGTTATAATGTGTTTCAACTGTGTGAATTTCTATAGCTTTTGGCCACAGGGGGGCGCTCCTTGCTCAGTGCCAGAGACTGTCTGTTGAAAATAGAAAAGCTAAATACTGTAATGAAATAAGCAACTCTGTGTACACTACAGAAACAAACCTGGTTGACTTTATTTTGTTTTTATCGTCAGCAGTCTAGTTGCATATAAAGTCTGTGTTTCAGTTCTCAAATAATTTTTTGAGAAACAATTTAAAATTCCAATGAATTTTCTGAGAATTCATTTGATTGTGCAGTTGCAATAATGGCAGTTATTGATTAACAGTAGTTCTAATTAAACATTTGACATCCACAACATCATAGTGCTGTTTTTTAATATTATCTGTTTGTTAGTTTTGTGTTTCTGTTGCTCCAGAGTAGCCATAATGCAGTTAATTAACCTTAAAAAAGCCCAGATATTCAGTACATCATTGCACAATGCCGTATAAAAAACCTACAATCAATATTTTTTCTGATGTCAAACTATTTCAATTGTTTTAACTTTACTTTAATAACTACAAGTCACGTGCCTTGACCTGCACCCCTCTGCTTTGAATATTTAGCCACCACAGAAATAGTGAGTTGTTTCAGGTAATAGTTGTCTTGGGAAGCCTTGTTGATTGGACTTGATTACATCACTTCCTTTACATGTAAATAGTTTTGTTGCGGTAACAACTGTGGCATCTAAATAATGGTACTAATTAGCAGGAAGGTACTGCTGTGCAGTGAAGAAAGCGAATCCATAATGCATGACTTGTATTCGTGTATAAACAGCTTGTTTCAAATGTCTATTTGAAACTATAATATGGGGTATGAAGAATGTTTGTTCATGTAAGTGGTTTTCCATATTAAAGTTGTGCTGACAAAGAGTCCTGTCAATTTTTATAATGTGCCTACGCCTTTCAAATTTCAACATAAACCACCTCGAGGCAACTGTTGATGTGATTTGTTGCTATATAAATAAAACTGAATTGAATTGAACATGCCATGGTTCTGATGAATACACACAAACATACAGTGCACTTTAGACTTGGCAGCCATGTTCCAATTCACAACAGCCTCATGGCAATTTATATTATAAGGTAAAGCCCCTACAATCCCTCTGTGCCCTGTGAGCAAGCACTTGGTGACAGTGGGAAGGAAAATCTCCTTTTTAACAGGAAAGACCTCGGATACAACCAGGCTCATGGAGGGACAGCCATCCATTGAGATAAGTCATGGGCAAGGGGAAAGAGAAGAGAAGAGAGTTCCCAGTTATTAAATACAATAGTGGTGTATAAACACACAGAGAGTGGAAAGAGATGTGTGAAGAAGAAACGTAAAGCGCCCTCAGCAGCCTAACCTTTGCAGCATAAATAAGGGAAGGTTCAGACTCACCTGATACAGTCCTAACTAAACGCTTTATCAAAAAGGAAGGTTTTAAGTGTATTTCAAAATTAGAGCGCACATATGCCCGTAATCTAAACTGGGAGCTAGTTCCACAGGAGAGCGGCCTGATAGCCAATGAAGAGCAGCTAATATGGGAAAAGTCCACTTAGTACTCTTGATTCAAGTGTGTTTAAATCGCTGTAGTAAAATACTGTGGTCAACAGTATCAGATGGACAAGCACTGAGATGCTTGTCCATTTGATACTTTTTGACCACTGTCAAAAAGTCATGCTCCTGTGTGTGTGTGTGTGTGTTAATTTATATATTTATTTATATATATTGGGGTTGGTTGTAGCTCAGGCGGTAGAGCAAGTCATCTACTGATCGTAAGGTTGGTGGTTCGATTCCTGGCTTCCCCTAGTCTGCATGTCAAATATCCTTGGGCAAGATATTAACCCCAAATTGCTCTCCAGTGCATCCATCAGAGTATGAATGTGTATGAATGTTACTTAGAACAATGTGAATGAGTGAATACACAAGTTGTATAAAGCGCTTTGAGTGCTCAGAAGAGTAGAAAAGTGCTATATAAGATCCAGTCCATTTACCATTTACCATATTAGGTTCACATACTTTCTGCATTTCTCTGTTATGGGTCCCTGAGAAAAAAAAGGTGACATATGTGGTTTCTGTTGACTAATTCCATGATTCAAACCACCCTCATTTTGTAGGAGAGACTGACATTCCCCTGAGAAAACCTTTGATTACAGTAAACACAAATTATGCACAGTCGGTGACTGAGGTTTATAGCCTCTGTCATTTATTTGTCATATTTATCAACTACTTAAATGAACACTTTAACTAATAACAAAAGTGTCACATATAAATATGTAAGCGAAAACCTTGTTTTTTTCTGATTTGGTTGTGTGTGCTGCAGATGTGTTTTGGCTCTCTGCTGCCTCTCTGTGGTCTTAAATAAACATTACATTTCACTGTGATAGTGCTCTCTCTATTCAGCTTGATTTCATTATCACTATTGCGTTAAATCCAGATAATGCACAAGTTCATCTGTGATAACATCTGTGGTAATGTGTCAATGGAAAAGTGTATTTAGTAGTCAGTATAAGCTTTTAATGATATAAGTTTGCATATGATAGAAAATGCATGTTGACCTTTTGATGACTTAGACTGTTGTCCACTGCAAGACTTTCTGTTTTATAAATTCTTTCTCACAGCGATAATAGCTGAACAAGCTATTATTTCACTCCTGCCAGGAAGAGGAGAGCTGGACACTTTTATCTGCGCTCACTATCAAGAAGAGGGGCTGCGTCCTTCTGTATCCCACAACACACACACATACACCTGAACCACTCTTATCTTCACTCCCTTCTACATACGCACCAACATTCCTGTCTATTCACTATTGTATTACTTTTGTAGATAAATAAAGACCAGATTGGTAACAGGGCGCACATCACAGGGCCCCCGCTCTGGTGTGAGCGTTCTGTGATCGCCCTTGCAAGTAAAAGCTGCAGCGTCTGTGTGTTTCTACCTTTAGTGTCCGGCAGCCTCGCCTCTGTCAGTGCGCCCCAGGGCAGCTGTGGCTACAATGTAGCTTGCCATCGCCAGTGTGTGAATGTGTGTGTGAATGGGTGAATGACTGAATGTAGTGTGAAGCGCTTTGGGGTCCTTAGGGACTAGAAAAGCGCTATACAAATGCAGGCCATTTACCATTTAGATTCTTAGCTGAAGAAGTGTCTTTAGAATACATCTCTTGACATAATGTAACATTATAAACTGTGTAAGAAGAGCCGCATGCATATAAAATCATGAATACGGTTTTATAATAATGTCCTTGAAGCAAACTTTTTTCTTCAATGGCAATTATTAAAAAGAAGCTAAGCAGATCCTCATTAATCTTATAATATCATTCTGCTTATAACCTTTTTTTTTTTATAAAAAATATGACATCAAACATGAAACAGGCATGAGAAACAAAGAACAATCCAAACATGTTTCCTGCTGCACCTTCAACTGTGCAGGTAATGATTCAGAGTCAGAATTCAATTCAATTGAATCACAACATTAAGGCAGTTTATACTGTAGGATAAACCCTGCAGTATTACATAGAACATTCTAGCAACTGGAGCAAGCACTTGGTGACAGTGGGAAGAAAAAAACCTCTTTTAATAGGAAGAAGCCTCTGCTCTGGGAGGGACGGCTTCTTCTTCTACCACGTCTGGTTGGCTGTGAGGGGGGCAGACAAAAACACTGTCTTAGAGACAGAGATTAACAATAGAAATTAATATAGCGATTACAATTATTGATTAAATAAAAAACTGTGATTTTTACAGTGTGTTTTTCCCTTTCTTCCTTCATCCAGGCATATGGGCCAACTTTTTAATACCCCTGAAAAATGGAGAAGTGATCGAGGGTCAGTATGTGGAGCTGCAGGCCCGGTACACTGGCGGCAACCCAAATTCCAAGAGTATCGCCTGGAACTTTTTGATGCCTAACACCAGCCAGATGAAGATGGTAAGGAAACAATTACACTTAGGTCTAATATATATTAGGCCAAGACAAGAAAAGACTTAAAGGTTTCTAATACTACTGTGCTGTGCAGATAGATGATCCAAAAGGAGGATCACAATCAAATAGATTTAGGGGAAGAAAGAGAACTCAGGAAGGGAAAGGATACAGGGTTTTTTTATTATTTCCCATAGTGTCTCACCTTACTTTACTCTTTACAGGAAGACACATTCATTAAATGTAAAAACATTTTCACTGATAAAAGAACAAAACTTAACTGCAATCTATTCAGAGTCGTATGTGTTTAGACAAGATAAAGTGAGCAATTCCCCTCTGACAAATTGTTCAATTCTATTGTATTTTATTTATACAGTCACTTTATAGTGCAAGGTAGATCCTACAATAATACAGAGAGAGAGAAACCCAACAATCATATGACCCCCTATGAGCAAGCACTTTGGCGACAGTGGGAAGGAAAAACTCCCTTTTAACAGGAAGAAACCTCCGGCAGAACCAGGCTCAGGGAGGGGGGGGGCCATCTGCTGCGACCGGTTGGGGTGAGAGAAGGAAGACAGGATAAAGACATGCTGTGGAAGAGAGACAGAGATTATTAACTAGAAATAATATGTATATAAACACATAGTGAGCGAGAAAGGTGACTAAAGAAGAAATACTCAGTGCATCATGGGAATCCTCCAGCAGCCTCAGCATAACTCAGGGTCACCTGATCACGCCCTAACTATACTACTTTAGCAAGAAGGAAACTCTGAACCCTAATCTTAAAAGTAGAGATAGTGTCTGTCTCCCCAATCCAAACCTGGTTCCACAGAAGAGGGGCCTGAAAACTGAAGGCTCTTCCTCCCATTCTACTTTTAGATATTCTAGGAACAACAAGTAGGCCTGCAGTCTGAGAGCAAAGTGCTCTAATTGGGTGGTATGGTACTAATTATGTAAGTAACTAAAATTTGACAAAGTGATATTTTTTCCAACTTGCTAATATATGTTTCCTATGCATGATATAATAATAGTAATATGGAGAAAATAATTGACAAGAACCTATTGTGCCTTTTCCAGCTCTTGGTTTTGTTTTTGAATGCTATTAGAGTTGCTTGGCATCATTTGTAGTTGAAAGTAATCATAAATACCAATGCACGAGTTCTTGGTGCAGCCCCTCAGTTCATCTTCTCTCTTAAACAGACAGTTTTTGCTCCTCACCGTTCTTACCTTTAAGGTAACAGGCGATGATGCTTTTAGATCACTGTGGAGTGATTTTGACCCACTCTTCTTTGCAGAATGGTTTACCTCTTTCACATTGGGGGGCTTTTGAGAATAAACGATCTGTTTAAGGTCTATTTTGATCACTCCAAAACCTTCATTTTTTCTTTTGCTGCTATGTTCTGGGTCACTTTCCTGGTGCATAACTCAAATGTAATTGAACTTCAGAATACGAGCTGATGGCAGGAGATTTTCCTTCAGGATTCTCTGGTATAAAGCAGAATTCAAGGTTCCATCAGTTACAGCAAGTGATCAAGCTCCAGACCATCAGATGACTAGATTACTCAAAGAAAACAGATTTTAATCTAAGAACATCTTTACCTTTTACTGTAAATGATGCATCTGCCTTGAACCGTTCTATTTATACTGTATTTCAGCTCCTTCCACTGCAGAGATACATATGCTGGATCTAGGTTTTATATCAGGCTTCTTTTGTTGTGTTTTGTTTTTTATTGTACAAGAGCCATATTCGTCAGAATGTAGTATTTATCTAATACTACAGACCTGCATAATTTGTGTTAATTAAATTGCAGAGAATGAGAGCTGAGAATTTATAGATCAGGTTCGGGAACATTAATATTACTGTTTAATTTGGCCTTATAGGTGGAAATGTGAAGGTTAGATTTTATTTTATTCACAATTGAACATAGAAAACATGTCCAATGTTTAAACTGAGAACGTACCTTTTTAAAGTGTGGGCTGTGAGTCCGCCGTGCACTGTTTACCTCAGCTGCCGATATGTGTCATGTGTAGTTGCTTTGGAGGAGGCTGTAAAACTTTGTGTAGAGTCCAGTAAAGGTTGATGAGTCAGTGAAGCTCACTTCTGTCCAATGTCAGTGATACTAAGGTGAGTTGTTGAAGATGTCCTGAACTTTTCTCTCTGTAAGCTCTGCTGATTTTACCAGTGTTAGTGAAACTTTCTTTTCTTTGAAGTCTTGCACTTGGACATTTAGCAAATAAATCTCTGGAAATGTTTTGGATAAATACAAAGTCCATTACATCCCTGACCTGGATGTCAGTGACACAGATCGGTGATATCTGTTATGCACAACTACTTCTTCTTGTGCTTTCTTTTATGTACTAAAAGACCACAAAAAAAACTTTTTTTAATCTCCTTTTTGTTTCATGTGACGCTTGCTTTCTGTCCTTCTGTCCAGATCATCTCCTACACCGACAACACGGTGAAGGTGTTTGACGGACAGTTTAAGGGCCGTGTCGGATTCCTATATCAGATGCCATCATCAGATGTGTCGTTCTACATCAACAACACCCGGGAGTCCGATTCGGGAAGCTACATCGTTCAGAATGTTAATGATGGTATTACTGAAACGGTTACCCTGGATGTGAAAGGTAAGAGAAATTCACCAGTTGCACAGCTGTACTTCTCAGATTCACTGTGAAACAGTAAAACAGAAAATCTTGTAATAAAATATTACATAATCCTCTCCCCTCAGTCCCTCCTTCTGTTCCGAAGTGCTCTATGACAGGGAAGCCAGAGGTAAAAGGAAATGTTACTCTGATCTGCATGTCCAGCTCTGGGAAACCTATCCCTTTGTACAAGTGGAAGAAAACCAGCCCCACCTCTGAGGTCTTCTTCTCACCCATGCTCAGTGAGTGCACAGCAAAAAAACTAAGAGTCATTGTTTGCTATAAATGTGAATTGTTGATAGAAATGCAGCCTGCACACCGTCTTTTGGGATTGTCACTTAGCACATCTTTGAGAACTGTCACTGACAACCCATTCTTGCTCATAAGGGAGCATCTGATTGGTCGAGTTCTCTAATAGCATCTTTACTTTTCAGTATGAAGCACTCGCTCTTGTTTTGTTTGAAGAGTAGATCTGTCAAATCATCGCGTGTATTTGTAGACTAATTTTGTGTTGTTGTGTGTGTGCATATACATGTGAAATAATGTGTCTTCATGTGTGTTTGACTGTCTTTTCCACGTAAACTGCTGTTTTAGATGAGAAGACTGGCACTCTGAAGCTGAACAACCTGAGCAGCAACATGTCGGGGAAATACGTGTGCACAGCCAGCAACACGGTGGCAGAAAAGACCTGCGAAATCGACCTGCACATTACCAACTGTACGCAGCAAGTGTAACCCTGGTTATGGTTTATTAATAAAAATAAGTGATGAAAAATAGTAATGGACCACACATTCAGATACACTATCATCAAGCATGAACAGCGAGTATCGATGTAATTAATGATTCCATTCACGCCTCTCAATTATTTCTGTTGGACACGATCATATCCTACTAATTTCTTATGACTGCTGACACGTCATAAGAAAACTAAATGAATGTGCAGCGAACTTTCTTACATATATATTAAAATATTACAAATATACAATAATTTAGCAAAAGTATCATTATAAACCCCTATCACTCATGACCTACACAGATTCAAAGTAAAAAACAAACCCTGTTTAACGTTGCTAGCATAAGTCTGTGACATTTTACATTGTAACCATTAGCTGACTTTTCTATTCAGCAACTAAGAAAATTATACTTTTGTCAAAGTTGGCTGAATTTGTCTTACTTTAACATGAGTCTGGACAGCCAACCATGCCCAACACAACCTAGCGTCCTGGGAATATATAATGTTGCAGAAGCCTGAAAACAATGGACAGCGTTCAATTAGCGATCAACATCTCAGCATTATTGTAGTGTCTTTACATTACAATATAAAGCGCCTTGAGGCAACAGCTGTTGTGATTT